GGGGGTTATCTTCAGTGCAACTTTCCCGGCCAGTTCCCTCTTGTCTACAGTGCTGTTTTCAGTTCTCTTAAAATGTCTTCATAATAAGCCCCACAATTGTCCCACATCCTTTAAGAAAATCCATTTGGATTACTCCTTTGGAAACCGAAAAAACCTTTCTGAGCTAATGGCTCTGCCTTGAACGTAACTGGCTCAGCATGTCCCCAGAGAAATCACTGTTGATTGGGTCTTTTTGGAAGGCACTCTAAGGAGACACAGACAAGAAGATTTACTCTGAAAAAAACTTGTTTGAGCCATTCAGTAATTGCTGACGCACGTTTAGACACTTGGAATAAGTACATGTGTGGATTGGAATCCTGGCAGAATATGTTTTACTTATCGCTGTAACCAGATTCTTTTGGGTTTATGCAGATTTCTTTTTTCTGATAGAATAACACACAGTAGCATAAACATTCTGACAATAACAACTTTAACTCACTGTTCCATGAGGGGAGATTCCAGGACATTTTTATGCTTAAAAGGAAAAAATATATGTGTTAGCCTTTCTCTTCATGGGGTGGGTAATCAACTCTAAATGAGATAACATTACTACTATGAATAAAATGTTACTATTTGCCTTAATTTTTAATTTTTACATCACATTTTATTTTTTATTAGAACTGATTCTTAAGAATCAGTTAAAAATGATAAATGCTAAAAATGTGATTCAATGAATGTAAAGATTTTACCATGGCATGCATGCTTGGTTATAGGGAGTCTGGCGGCATAGTGGCTATGTGTTGGTCTGTTAACCACAAGGCAAGCAGTTTGAAACCACCAACCTCCAGAGGAACAAGAGGGCACGTTCCACTGCTGTAACAATTCACCATTTTGGAAACCCACCACAGCAGTTCCACTGTTCTGCCGGCACTAGGAGTCAGAGCAGACTGGATGTCAGTGGGTCTAGTGGACTTCTGCACAACTGGAAGCAGCAGAACTGGGCCGCAGCTCACATTTCAAACCTCAAGGTCCATGAACATTTCCCTAACCTCTGTATATTATTTCATAACTTTAAACTTTGAAGCTATTTCAGAGTAAAACAATATTAGCCAATAGAGTGTGCCTCCTCAAAAGTGACTCGAATTAGAATTCCCCCCACTGCCAGTTCACTGTCCCCCAATGACAAGACAATCCTTGATGTAACATGTAATCATTGGCCTTAAAGCACTTTTACAATGAAAACTTTTAAACGGAATTTCAGAAGGAACATAATTAGAAAACAAACGTTTTTTGTTTGTTTGTTTGTTTATTTGTTTACGGTGAGGCATCAATACTGAAAAGGAGATACACGAAGGGGAATGAAGTCGCCGAAAGCTTCGGGGAGAAAGACTTATTTTGCCTTCTGTTGAAAAAGCAAAGCGATCAGGGCCAGAAGCAAATCAAACTCCCATCGATGCAAAGGGTCGCCAGGGGTTGAATGTGAGGTGAAAGGAGTGGCTACAAGATAATCTTCACACCTTCAAACACACGTGTGAGAGCCCTCCAGTCGGAAAGGACCATGGCAGAGATGAATGGGTCTGTGAACGTGTGGATGTGCTCATCTGGAAGGAAGGCTTGGATCATGAGGAACAAGAGATCCAGGTCAGGCCACTGGCGGCATTTACTAAAACTATAGTTCAAGATGAAGTACTAAATAAAGTAAGCCAAGGTCGGCTAGGAAGGCTACAAAGAAACTCTTGGACAGAATTGCTCAGATATCAAATACAAGTTGAAGTGTATAAGTAAGGTAAGCCTCTACCTGTGATTGACTTTAAATATCTGGCGTTCATATATGAAAATACCTTCACACGATATTCTTCACTCTCTTGCTATGATTAAATAGAACTGAATCTATGCTGCCTAAAATGGATTCATAAACTCAGGCAGATATGACACAGGCAAAATAAAAAAAGCACAAAGAAACAATTTTTCTCTTTAAAAAAGAAATGCAGTCTTTCTATATTAATTCAGAAGGAAGAATCTTCCTAAAGAACAGGTAACACTTTGGGGGCTAATTCTTTGTGATGTCTGGGAACTGTTTGATAATTATTAACTCTATCTTCTCTTGATTTTCCCGTGCAAAGCTTAGATAATGCAAAGATGTAGTAAGACATAACTCAAGAACAGAAAAATAAACATTTCAGAGTCATCGCTAATATGTGCTAAATATGTAAAAGACTCTGGACATTTTTTCTAAGGCATTTATATATATTCACTCATTCTATCCTTAATAATAACAACATGAGTTAGGTAATATGCCTATTTCACCGTTGAAGAATCCAACACACAACACCAATGAACGTGTAAAACATTACATAGCATATCGCTACTTGAATCTCAAAAGACCTCAATTTTAACTGTACTACTGCTTCTCTAGATAGAAGGATTTATTTTCTTAAAATTACTAAATATATAATGACTTATGAAGTATGACTGCTTTAATGGGACCAGTGTTCATCTTGCCTTACTTCAAGCAGAGGTTTCCATCTGAACTCCAATAAATCAGAGTCCAAGTCTACATACCTACCCTAACTGGAATTTGAGGGAACCCTGGTAGCACTGTTGGGTAAGTGGTGGACTTCTAAACATTGAACTGCTAATCACAAAGTCAGTGGTTTGAACCAACAAACTTCTTCAGGTGACAAAGAAGAAACTGTGAGTTCTAGTGGAAAGGTTCAACCTTGGAAACCCTATCCTGGGTCACTATGAATCAGAATTGGCACAAGGACAGTGGGTTTAGTTAGAACTTAAAACCCAAGAAGGTCAGGCCCAACAGAACCCAGAGCTCTCTTTTGTATGCCATCCTCTTTTCTAGCTTCCTGCATGACGCATATAAAGTCTTTCTGGATAAATGACACTGGGAATTTCTACTCTACCCATTATAATGTGACCAGATGCTATGGCCTCATGAAGGCAACAATGTGAGAATGCCATCTCCGAAATATCAACATCCTCTTAAGGAAATCTCTTGGAGAACCAAGAGGAAGAGAGTCATAATGATGTCATCCTAGAAAAGAATTTGGAGTCCACTCAGTCAGACCACCTGGCATTGAGGAAAACTGGTAACTTAAGCAACAGGCACTGGAGATTTGAGTTTCAAATTAAATGCTAAACACAGTGGTGAGTAGGAAATAAAGAAAATGAGTCACGGGATACACATGGTCAAGTTCACCTCTACCCAAATACCTCGCCAATGCTCAACGGAAAGATGGGGCTATTGCAAACACAGTAAAGCTGATTCTCAGAATAAACGGATCTTCATAAAGTTTAACTTACTTATAGAATAAAAATAGAGACTAGATTAAATATATAGTAATCATTAGTTTGGGCACCAGGAAAGGTAACTGTAGGAATCTATTCATGACCTTTCTCCATATATAAAGTTCAAGCATTCACTGTAATTCTTCATAGAAAGAAGTAAGTGCTTGGAAAAAATTAATTTAATTTCCTGCAGAATAAAATATCTTCATGCAAATCTATTTCTATTAAAATGAAAATCACTTGTGGCATTTTAAAGCATAATGCATAACAAAATATTCAAATTCAATATTAAATATTATTTAATGACAAATGCTAGCAAATGGGTGAGGTTTCAGATGAATATTGTAAAATTCTAGGTAGGAGCTATCCATTAAGGTTTCTCTTATCTTTAGAAAAGACTTTTGCAACTTGTTATATTAAATCTATGTAAAAGCTCTTCTAGACAAATTCCAAAAATACATTTTTAATTTACCTGATGTTTCACTTTCTGCCCAGAGAGCTGCAGAACCAGATAAAGTTCTTTGAAGTTGTCCACGGTTTCCCTGTTTAGACTGAAGATGGTCAATGAGAAATGGGATTGGCTGGTCAGGTGTCTCAGTTATTAACTTGGTCATTAACTCCTAAAGGAAGAATAAAGTACATATTTACACCTAACAACAGTAACAACAATAGCTAAAACTAGCATTTACTGCCGTTATGAAGCATGACCCTGCTGCTTTATGCATAGCCACACAGCAACTAAATTAATCCTCACAATTATCTTTCAGGAAAAATGTAAGTTATTATCTTCATTTTTTTTTAGGAAACTTATGGGCAGAGGAATTGGAATTAAGTGTAAATTATATAGATAATACATGGAAAACCAGGGATATTAATTTATATTTATTATTATATCTAACCCCAAATTTTAGATAATTAATCAGATTTGTTTGTTAAATCAGAGTTTCTATTATGGGTGATGGAAAAACTGAAAACAGATAAGGGTGACGATTGAGCAATGCAATAAATATAAGTTAAGGTCACAACAATACATAGGAAGAATTTAGAATTGGAAAATGCTTTCTTACATATATATTTACGACCATAAAAAAAGATTGTAAACCTTAGATCACTATTTTAAGAGATGCTACCAGGAACTACACGTTTGCTACCTCTTACCATATATTGAATATACCAATGCCATTGCTTCCTTCTTAAAAAACAGAAACAAAAAGGCTCACTGCCATCCAGTGCACTCACTCTTAGCTCATCGGTAGGGCAGAGTAGCGCTCCCCCTGTGGGTTTCCAGCACCGGAACTCTTTAAGGGAGTGGAAAGCCTCCTCTTTATTCCACCGAGTGGCTGGTGATTTTGAATTGCTGATTTGGAGGGTAAAAGACCAATGTGTAGCCACTATGCCCCTGGGGCTCCTGGTTTCTTCCTTAGTTACATATAAATATCGCAAAAGGAAAGGAATTTTGTTGGAATGGGGAAAAAAAACACCCAAAAAACAAGTCATATACTTGTTGAAAAATTCTTTTTAAACTTGTCTTTAACAATAGACTTTCTTTTTACAAAAGCACTGACAGTGAATAATCTTTTTTTCATTCCTTTTTAAGGAGTAAAAGGATGGTGAGTTTTCTACTTCCAAAGCATAATGTTCCCCTTTTGGAAAACGCTACTGAAACCTTAAATTGGGCAGAAAGACGCCTGATTAGGAGAGCTACACGTTGGTTTTTCTGAGCAGCAGCAACAAAGAGCAATCTCCAATTTGCGGTCAATTGGAATCTCCAGACTTGTTACTAGTGAACGGCGGTCAAGCGGGTAACCGCCTGTGTGAACCTGCTTACATCATTTCACATTCACCTGAGCAGCATTTCATCTCGAATCTTTCAGCCTACTTCAGTCGGCCAATGTCATTTTAAGATCAGCTTCTGTGAGAAGCACTATTTCTCGTTAGTAGGCAAAAACAAAACAAACAAACAACAACAAAACAAGACAGTAAGATTCCTAGAAGGATTGCTAGAAATCCCCCATTACCTGGTTTCCTTTTCATTATTGTAGTCAGCGGCCTTGAGTGATTTTCAAACTTCATATACATGTTCAAGTGGTTACATTCTTGTCATCTCTCAGTCTCTAACCAGAGATTATACTAACCAATGTTCCTTAGCCTGACTCCTGTTAGTATTCGCTCCATAGCCGTTAGCACACCCCAGAATCATCTGGCTTCATACTCGCTTACCTGTTGGTTGCCTGTCTCTCTCCCTTCCGTATCAGAGCCCTCTGAGCCAGGCCCATCTGGTGTTGAATAGAACAGCCCAGAGATGGCCCCTCTGTACTAGCCTAGAATGGCCCCCATGTTGCTTACTTCTTCACAAACTCTGGGTGCTACTCAAATTTCACACAACTTTGGCTTTAAATATAGTCCAAATAAATATTTTTTATTTATAGCCTACCTTCTTCCAGACCCTGCAAATTGCATTCAACATCTGCTTACCTTGCAGCACAAAGGGCCCCAAGCCTCCTTTGCCCTTCAAAGTTCTCTGACCCAGAGACTCCCCACCTCGCTGTTAAGTAACCTAACCCGACCACAAAGGATTCCTCTCCAACACCATGGTTGGTAAAGTAGAGGGGCAGCAAAAGAGAGGAGGAGCCTCAATGAGATGGATTGACAGGGTAGCTGCAAGAATGGGCTCAAACAAAGCAATTGTGAGACCAGCTCAGGACCGGCCGGGCTTAGTTCTGTTGTACAAATGGTTGCTGTGGTTCAGAACCAACTCTATGGCCCTTAGCAACAACAACATTGTGGAGTACACAACATTGTATTTGTTATTGTTAAAGTACTTTAAAATCTAGATGCGTTTCTTCAGTGTTTGTCATACCTAGAAGGATACAATATATACGTGGAAAAACAAGTGAGTAAATCACATGAGCTACAAACTGCAACTAAGTGATCTGACTCAAATATAAACTTGATTTGAAGACATTGTTAATCCAAGGACTTCAGCACTAAAATCTATGTAAACTTATTGTACATCTCAAAGGTTACTAGAAAACTGAAATCAAAATTAAAGGATGACCCAGCTAGCTACTCTTATCACAGATGACTGGGACACCTGGCTGAAACACAATGAGATCAGATAATAGGGCTTAAAAGCCCCAGGCAATTCTATCCAGAAATTTTCTAGGAGCTCTCTCCTGTACTTATTTTACTTTATTTTTCAAATGCAATAGGACATTTTCATATGTGTTTTTATTTCTTTTAAAATAAAGTCTTTAAAAAACAGATCATACAATCTTAATAAATCAAGTAATAACTGTTAAGATTTTATTGCTATCATGAGTCAAGCAAGTAGTTTGGGATATGTGTTATATGAGACCAAATCACAGATCCACTTCTGTCATAAGGAAAACAGAAAATAATGTTTGCAGGTTGGATATCTTGATGAGTCTTGTTATAAATGATGCTATCAAGGACACAAGGTGCCATGCCCCTCATTGAATCCATGCATCTACTGATGTTAGGCCTTGAAGCATGGTAGGGACTTGAACTTGAGAGACACGCTCTGATAAGACATGAAAATCCAGATCCTCAGACTTGCACGGTGATGCTTCTGGCAATATAAAGATTGATTTCTTCCCAGCACTGAACATTGAGACACAGACATAGAACTGATGGCCTGACTGATTTGAGGAGCTGAGGGAAGAATCCTGCAGCGGGATGAGTTGCAGATAAAGCCCAATGAAATGAAGTTTCACAGAAATCATTCACCGGGAGAAATGGAGTTAAAGCAGAAAGCAAATCTTGGAGACAGACCTGAACACCCGAAGGACCAATGTTTCCAAAGAGAGAGGGAAGCTGTCCACAAACTCTTACCAGCAGCTCAAATGTGGTGACATAAAATCCTCTGAGAGAGTGTGGCTGAGGGTGTGTGCATCAAAAGAACCACTAGAGTGCTGACAGTTCTCCGGCCACCGACCAAGACATCTGTGTACATTTTAGGGTTAGCAATTGATAAAATATATGGATTAATTTCCATGTGACCTTGTTTGCACTCAGAGGCTAGTAAAATCTGGGCCATTCAAGTTAAAAACAAAAATCTATTGGCTGCTGTCAACACATTTTATTCCTGCTTATTACAACTTACATAAATGAAAAGCTATAAGACTTATAGGGAAAGGTAGTTGTTAAAACCCTAGATCTGAAATCAGATGGACACATTTAAACTCACTCATTGTCCATGTGACTTTGGAAAAGGAACTTAATTACATTAACAATATGTCTTATAAGATGTGGCTGATAATTTTGCCTATACCATAGGGCTGCCCGGGGATGAAATAATACAATGATTGCAAAGAAAACTTGCTTCTATGGTGAGAACTGTAATTCTCTCTCTGTGTCACACACACACACACACACACACACACACTCTAGGCTTGATTTTTCCAATCTGAAGAATTTTCAGGAGGAGAGATGCAGATCAAATTAATACAAATATTATTTGGGATTGCTTGCAAGATGTGAGAAAAGATAAAAATGTAGCCGATTTCTAGGAAGTTTGTGAAAGCCTCCAAACTGAGATAGCAGTGGGAGTTCTGAAAAGGTGCTGGGGGGTGGGGGTGGGAGGATACAGCAGCTCTCAGACATGCTTTTGGGAACCACTTGGCATCCATGATTTAAAGCTGACCTTGGTGAAATCCCCCTGACTTTTTTTTAAATTAAAAGATCATTTTATTGGGTGCTCTTACAGCTCTTACAATAATCCATACATCAATTGTATTAAGCATATTTGTACATGTTGCCATCATTATTTTCTAAACATTTCCTTTCTATTGAGTTTTTGGTATCAGCTACTTCCCCACCCCCAACCTCGTGACCCCTTGATAAATTTCAAATTATTATTATTTTAATATCTTACACGAACCGCTGTCTCCCTTCCTCCACAGTTTCTGTTGTTCGTCACCCTGGGGTGGGGGAGGTTATGTGTTGATCATTGCCATCGGTTCTCCCTTCCTCCTACACTCCAAGTATCACTGCTCCCGTTCCTGTTCCTGGATTCCATGTGTCATGAGCTCTTATCGCTATCGGTAAAGTGTACATGCTCTGGTCTAGCCCACAGTGAAAGGCAGGACTGGGGTGATGACAGTTGGGGGTGAGGAAGCCTCAAAGAATTGGAGGAATATTGTATGCTCTGTTGGTGCTATACTACACCCTGGGTGACTCATTTCTTCCTTGTGACCCCTTTGTGAAGGGAGGTCCCATTGTCTACAGATAGGTTTTGGGTCTTTGCTCTAAGCCCCCTCTTTCTCAGCAATATGTTTGTTTGTTTGTTTGTTTTTTGTTTGCTGGTCCCTGTTACAAGTGCCTGTGATACCTCATGAGCGCACAGGCTGGTATGCTTCTTCCATGTAGACTTGTTATTTCTCTGTTAGATGGCCACTTGTTTAACTTCAAGCCTTTAAGACCCCAGACTCTCTATATTTTTATATCCAGGCACCATCTGCTTTTTCACCATATTTGCTTGTGCACCCGTCTTATCTTCAGCCATTGTGCCAGGAGTGTGAGCATCACAGAATGCCAGGTTGTTAGAACAAAATGTTCTTGCATTGAGGGAGGGCACGAGGGAGGGCAAAGGCCCAAA